TGGGCTTCAGATAATAAACCCAACATAATAAAAGATTATTTCTTTCTCACGCATAGCACAACACATGTATGTTTCTCCTGGGTGGCTCTTTGGGTAGTGACTTGGGCTCCTTCTTTTCAGTGGTTCCACTATTTCCAGGGCCTGGGAGTCTTTGGGACATTGGAGTCCTTTACTGGATCCTCTGAATTCACCAGCCAGTGGGTGAGAAGAGTTTTTCATGGACCAGGCCTAGACGTGGTATTTATTAGTGTCACCCATATCTTGGCCCCATCTTAATTGTGAGGGAAACTGGAAATTGCATCTTCTGTTTGTTCTGGAAGAGAAAGTGTTTGTTCTGGAAGAGAAGGTGAACATATAGTATCACTTCTGCTACAATTACATGAGAAAATGGATTAATTGTTTTCTCTTGTTTCTTTCTTCCCCAAAGAACTTACCTGGTTTAAACTTACAATGGAGAGTGCGTTTATATCTAAAATGGTCTGAAAGGGAAGAGAAAATAAAGCGCTTGGGTCCCAGTTTGCTCAGAAGCTCACCCCTGATACTTGTCTGAGGGTGCAAAGAGAGCTTCAAAGGCCGAGAGGAGGCACCGAGCAAAACCAAAGCCCGCAACCCCTGGGAGGGCCCTTGTGGACTGGACCTAGTAGACAGTACTTCCTCGTCCATCCTCTTGCACGGGTCCTGATGAGCTGCGTTATGCTGCTGTAACAAACAGCCCCCAATGCCTTAGTGGCTTAGACAAGGCTTATTTCTCATGCTAAATGTCCAATGGGGGTGAGCAGGGTGGCTCTGCTCCTTATAGTCACCCAGCAGCCACCACATAGGCTGTTGTCATCAACATGAAGCTTCAGGAGTCCCCAGGTACTGTCTCTTAAATGCTTCTGACTGAGGAGTCACTTGTCACTTCAACTCATAGGTCATTGGTTAGAACTGGTCATATGGCCTCACCTAACTTAAAGGATCAGGAGGATGAACCCTCTGTGCAGGCAGAAGGAAGGGAATTGACGGTGATTTCTAACAATCAAACTAGTCTGCCACTCAGAGCACTCCCAGGTCAGGTCTGAGGCCCCACTGAAATAAGCTTTATTGTATCCCAACCTTACTTTCCATTGTTCAAAAGATGGCCAATTCTCCTTACCAACTGTGTTTGCTACAGCTGCCATCCAAAGTACCAGACTTGGTGGCTTTAAGCAGCAGAAATTTATTCTCTCCCAGTTCTGGAGGCCAGAAGTCTGAAATCAAGGTGTCAGCCAGGTTGGTTCCTTCTGAGGGCCGTGAGGAAAGGATCTGGCCTCCACCTCCTTGGCTTGTAGATGGCCGTCTTCTCTCTCTGTCTGCTCACAATTGTGCTTATCTCTGTGTTCCAATTCCCCCTTTTCACGAACTCACCAGTCATATGGGATCAGGGGTCCACCCTGCACCAGTGTAACTTCGTCTTAATTAATTACACCTTCAATGACCCTGTTTCCAAATAAAGTCATGTTCTGAGTTCCTGGTAGTTTGGACTTTACTATAGGAATTTTCAGAGGACACAATTCAACCCATAACACCCAGAGACGTTGCTCCCCAGTGCTGTAGCTACAGCAGTGTGGTGCGACTCATTTCCTACCCCCAGCCCAAATGAGCTCATCACTCTTTTCGTGCCACTGTATGTTGGGCATACCTCCACTATTTCATTTGTATGTTGCTGTAGTTTTTAATTAATGGGTTTATTTCTGTTCTGTCTGTGGTCTTCCATAAGGCAGGGACCCCCCTATTTCTGTCCTGGAGCCTAGCATAATGCCTTGTACAGTAGTGGAGCTAATGTGCTGTGGACACGGAAAACTGAAGTCTCCACTACACTTACGGCACCTGCCCAGGCCTGCAGACCACAGTGGCTCCTCAGTGTTAGGAGTGGGGTCACCATGAGGAAGGTTGGTGATAGAGCATCAAGATCTATGGCTGATATGAGGCCATATACATTTTAACAATACTCAAAACACAGAGGGACAAAGGGGAGAGATCACAAGAGAAAAATGAATATTTCCTGTTTCTCTTTGTTTTTTAAAAGCAACCTCATGTATGAAACTGAAGCAATTCCTGGAGAAATTTTCAGAGCCAGACACTAGCGAGCTCAGCAGCTCTGTTTTGTGATAGCATCTAAATCCCAATTGGTTTTTATTAATACCATTTTGCTTCAAACTGTGAGAAATAGCCTCACCTGTCCAATGCCAAAGGATGGACATGGAGACACGAGGTACAACAAAGTAGACTTTAATTACGGCCTTGCAAGTTTCGGGTGTCTGAAGGTCAGGCACACAGAAAAGTGCTGTAGCAAGCAATTTATTCCCTAGTGCACAAGTCCCTGCCCCCTCCTCCTCATTGGCTGAGAGTACTACGGGGTATACAATCTTCCCAGATGACTTCTTAGATTACCCTAACTTACTACCCCTTAGTAGGAAATTTCTTTGTCAGGACAAACCCTTGGAAAAGGCCCACTGAAACTTTGTGAAAGGAGAAACATCAGGGAATGAAGGGGACAGTAAAGGGCTAATAACTCATTACCATCTCAAGGAGAACTTTATCCACTCAGTGACCCCCACCCCCCCAGGAATGGGCTGGACCAGTCAGACAACTTTCAAGCTGGGTCTGAATCATTTCTGAAAATGAATCACTTAAGTTATTTTCTTACAAAATTATAAAGGAATGAAGGAAAAGTGGAAAGAAGAAAGATTGATAATTAGAATCTAGGGATCTAATATGACTGTCCATTCCTAATACATAATCAAACTGAGAATCTGGACTTTTTAGATTGATCCAGATTTTCAGTTTGATTAGGTATTAGGAAAGGACAGTCACATTGAAAATGAGTCAGCCTGCCTGCTGATGAATTTCTTTTCTTTTTGTTCTTATTTTTCAATGATAATGAAAATTAATTTTTACTCAGGAAAAGTTCTGAATATGCGAAATCTGCACAAAGAAGAGCTGTCTAAGACTCTGATCACTCCACCGCCACCAGCAGTGAGATTCCCAGTAGAGACTAAGATGTAGTAGGCTCTTGGTAACTAATCCTGGGATTGTGAGGCAGGCACTTACAGTTTACAGCTGTAACTTTTAAAGTGTTTTAGGAGACCTGGATAAAATGAGAAGAAATAGGCATTTCTTTTTTTTCTTTTTTCCTGTAAAGTTGCATTTTATGCTTGGTTTCTCCAGGGCAGGGAGCAAAAATGAGTTAACATTTCCTTCCTTGCTCAGATAACAGCGATTGCATTCTCTTTCTATTCTTGAGTCCATTCTTCAGTCTTCAGGGTCTTCCTCCCAGGATAAATGTAAGAACCCCGGGGGAGCTTACTCAGTTCAGAGGGGCCAGGCCTGGTTAAAAGCACTGTGCCAGAGGAGGTCACAAGCCCAGGCAATTCCTTAAGATCCGCTTCCCCTGCTGTTAGAGCTTCCCCCTTCGGAGGGGCTGTTCCTCAGACCTGGGCAAGGCTGGTCACTGCAGGAGTGCTAGGGGGACTGAGGTGCTACCAGTCACCTCTATTTTGACATGCGGTTCTCACAGTGCAGGAGAAGAGTGTGCCTCCTGGCCACAGGTGTGGCTCCCTCCCAGGTGTTCAGTCCTAGAGACCAGGTCTTCGTGGTGTACATTGCAGCTGTTCTACCCCAAAACAAACACATTGCCTGGGGTCAGCCAGGTCAGGAGGGATTCCAGGGACGATGGAATACCTAGATCATGACCAAGAGCCCTGAAACCGTAGGGGCCAAGGGAAAAACTTCCCCTTCATTCCTGAAGGTTTGCTGAAAATCAATTGACAAAAGGCAGATTGATAGGAGAAAAGGTAGAACAAATTTTATTTTAACATCCTGTGGAGAGCTGTGCAACAGGGAATCACAAGAGAGTGGTTGCCCGGTAACCAGTGGGGTACAGAAGCTTACACATCCTTCCCAGGGGAAGGGGGGATGGGGGGTGTAAGAGTAAATGTTTTTCAGAGAAAATGAATGAGCCCAAAGAACAATGACCTGGGGTCAAGTTTCTCTGAGCTCTGGGGAGGTGTTGTCACAGGTGAAGGGTGAAAGCAGCCAAGCACAGGCCGCCTTGTTATGCAGATGGAAGTGTCTGGTGACCTGGGAGCTGCCCTGGGAAAGAACGGATGGTAGACAAGGGAGGGAGGGCCCCAGAAAAAGCCTGGCTGTTTATTTCGCCAGTGTAGACTCCTGTATGGATGCAAATCTCCACAGGAGGCAGCTTTTCAGCTATGATTGTTTCTCCAGCCCTTCTGAATAGCCGTCTTGAAATATATCAGAGAAGTATATTTTGGGCTGAAATATCTTTGGTTTCCTTCACTACCATCCCATCCCTTAAATTACTGTGTGTCTGTAGGGGGAGGATGGGGGTGATGGAGTGTTAGGTTATTTTTCTTGCCTCCCTGCTGGCTCAGCCGGGTCTGGCTGTAGCTCTGAACCTCAAGGGGAAAGGTCTGGCTTGCAGGAGGCCAGGGTGTCCTTCTGCAGGATCTGCCCCCACCTTCCCCACCGAGTGGGGATGTACTTGAACTTCCTTGGTGTTACTAATGGGCCTCCAGTCTGGTGTCTCACCCAAGAAAGGTTTGCTTAACCTCTGGAGGCCAGCAGCAAATCAACTTCTGAATCAACAGACTTCCTACTTTAGGTATGTAAAAAACACTGAAATATTCTATCATGTTTTAAAGTGGTTTAAGTTTTCATTTCATTTGGTAGGGAAACGTCTAGTTTTACATAATCAAAGTGATTGATATTGTCTTTGTGACATTCTTCCCTTTGCTTTTGTGCGTAGGAGGCCCCTTACGGGTTTTCTTTTTCACTTATTTTTCTAATCCATCCGGAATTTACTTTTATCTACAATATGATGCGAAGACCCAAACAGCTAGCCAATTTTCACAGTGCTAAATGCTGCATGATTCATCAGTTCTCCATTCATTCAGGCTTTTGTTTGGCCCTGTGCATACCGTAATAACTTCGTATAGCATACATTATACGAAGTTATACGACTTAGGTACCAAGCACATTTGCCGCGCACACTCAGCACTCCCGGGAGTCTGCGGAGGAAAGGTAAACCCAGCTCTGCTGCTGCCCTCCCTGTTCAAATCCAGGCAGCCTGCTCACTATTATCCAGCAGACTCTTCCACTTCCACATTTTCCAATAGAAATTTGTGCTAGCTGAATGAAATTATGGCCACTCCCCAGGCACACTTCCTTTTCCTCTCCCTGCCTCTGTTTCTCCTTTGCACCTATCAGTATCTGACCTACTACATATTTTACTTAGTTGTCCTGTTTTTGTTGCGGTTTTTCTCCCACTGACATGAGCTCCTGGAGGGCAAAGATTTATTTTTATCACTGCGATATCCCCAGCCATCAAACAGGGCCTGTCTCATAGTTGGTGTTGCACAGATGAACGAGGAATGAATAAACAGAAAGTGAGTTTTGGTTTGTTTGTTTGTTGTTTTGTGGCTGGCCGGTAAGGGAATGAGACCCTTGACATTGGTGTTACCAATACTATGCTCTAACCAACTGGGCTAACTAGCCGTGGAAAGCGAGTTTTTTTAAAACAAAGGGATAAGTCCCCGCCTTACACGATTAGCTTTTAGACTGCACAGGGGTTCCTGTTTGGATTATCTGCTGTTTGGGTTACCCTTGGCATCGTTCTCCTCAGGGATCCTAACTGTTGGTGGCCCGTGGGTGCTTCTCTCACTCTGTGCTAGTTGCATTTTTACTATCCAGTGACCTGCCCCTGGAAAACTCAAGGCCTGCAGAAGTGGGGTTGAATGTCTTCCTCCAGGGCAGGTAGATCCTAAGGAATGGGCAGGAGGGGCTGAGCCTGAGACCCAGTTTCTCCTGCAGACCCACCAGTGAAGGAGGAATGAGGGAGACAGAGGCAGGCGAGTCCTTCCATGAAACATCAGGGGCAGGGAGTAAGCGTTCCCACCAGTCGTAGCACCCGCGTGAGCTCGTGCTGGGTGTCTCTTCATTGTGTGCATATGGAGGCGGTGATGTGTGTCTAACACGGAGCACGTTCACACACAGAAGATCACACAGATGTGTTCATATGTATTTGCAGCATGCTCTTTCCATTTACCAATATACTTTAGACATTTTTTCAATTCACCTTCTTTTAAGGAGTACAACAAGCAAATGACACAAGAAAAGAAACAGTGTTTGTCCCAATAGATTTGGCCAAGAGGAACATATAAGATTAGATGTGAGATTCTGCCCCTGTGGACCACACTTTGTTCCTGTGACATGAATTGCTGGGGACGGGGTTGAGTGGAGAGCTGGTACCAATGGAAGAGGGAAAACGATCGACTCCACGATCACCGGGTCTCCTCCTGGCGACAAGGGGACCACAGACAGAGGCAGAACTGTCTGAATCAGAGCACATCACGATTTGAAACAGACACAAGATCAGAGAGAGGAGATCTGTGGACTTCAAGGGTAAAATATTCAGATTCTTTGAAAAGTTATAAAAAATTTCTAAAACTTGTGATACTAATGTACCAAGAGAGGGAGCAGAATCTTTCCCACAGATAAACCAAAGAGAATAGTTGAGCATTTGTTCTTTTTTTTTTTTTAAAGCTAACATTATGTCCTTGACAAGCTACAGTCCTCTGAGATATAGAATTCTGAATGCTATTAAAATTAATGAAAATGTCCTCACTAAACTTCACACAGTGCTAAACTCCCACGGAGATGCTCTGGATTGATCAGAAGTAAAATGAGGCCTTTATGAATCAAAGGAAATGATTTTGGATCACCTTGGGAATTTTCAGTTTTAAATATAAGCTCATACACCTCTGGAAAGGCAAAGAGAGACTGAAAGCCTCAAGATGAGGACGGAAGTGCTCTGGCTTATGCAGAGAGGAAATGAGTGTAGCCCAGGCATGGCTTCATTACCATATTGGTCAAGGTGGCTTGAATGTGCTATGGAAACACACAGATCCTAAACCCTAAGAGACTTAGCCAGTGGTGTGCTGGATGAGGCCTGCCTATACGACTCACAGGAGCTGATACTTAGCATCTCTTCTGCACTCTGCATTTAGTGGGCAGCCTGAAATTGACCATGGTGGGAGTATTTATACCACAGAAATCAGCAAATACTACAAATTGGGTCTTTTATTCCTCCAGAAAGCAGGTTGTTAAACACAAGTGCACCATTGGGCTTCAGATAATAAACCCAACATAATAAAAGATTATTTCTTTCTCACGCATAGCACAACACATGTATGTTTCTCCTGGGTGGCTCTTTGGGTAGTGACTTGGGCTCCTTCTTTTCAGTGGTTCCACTATTTCCAGGGCCTGGGAGTCTTTGGGACATTGGAGTCCTTTACGGGAACCGCTAAATTCGCCAGCCAGTGGGTGAGAAGAGTTTTTCATGGACCAGGCCTGGACGTGGTATTTATTAGTGTCACCCATATCTTGGCCCCATCTTAATTGTGAGGGAAACTGGAAATTGCATCTTCTGTTTGTTCTGGAAGAGAAAGTGTTTGTTCTGGAAGAGAAAGTGTTTG